AATCTCGGAAGGGCCGTATGCAAATTGTGCACGTTAAAGATCTCTTGGTGGTCAAAAATCGATAAGAGTAGGCTTCGGCCGCCACCTGGGCAAAATTCAAAATTTCCTACCATCTGAAAATATTAGGCGTGTCCTGCGTCGTAAAACACTTACCCCCCCAAAAAAATTTTTAAAAATATTTGGTTGACCATTGATCTTTTCGTAATGTCCCAAATCCCCGGACTTATCAATAATTTTAGCGTTTATTTTTAAAGACCACCATGTTTCCTTTGGTGTGTGATTTTGTCTAAGTTTCGCCTTTATAAATCATCACTTGCAGATGTTCACCGACATCTTGAAGGGATGGTACTATGTACTCAAATTCCTATTGACAAGGAGCGTCCTGAACTCAGTGTTAGTGTTACTATTATTGTACTGGACTTTCACGTCCTATCGGAGATAAATTATTAACTCTCAAGCCCCGCCTTTAAATAACCTTTGTGGTGAAAGGGGTGTGAACCAAGGACGTTATAGTAAGGTCCTTGGTGTGGCCCTATAAAATCGCCATTCTAATTCCCGTTGACGTCAGCAGTGCTCAGGCAACGTACAGCGAATTGTCCATCAAAAGCCACATATATCACAACCATAGGGTAGTTCTCTGCTCAAGAAAACCCCGCTTTGCATGTACAAGGCACTAAGTGAGCCAGTACTGAATGATGTTATGATTTATTATTCATTGCTGTTTATGAACAGGGGAAATAACACATTCCGTTTCCTGCAAAATGTCAGCAATCACATATAAAAAGAGTTGTGTACCTTGACTTCTCACCGCCCGGTCGTGGATCTCTCTTTCGTGATCAGCGAAGTTAACGAGTCTTGGGGGCAATATTGATAGTCTACAATAATTTATTATTTAGTATCCTTTTCAGGGGAAGACACAAAATAACATGGATGGACAACACAGAGGAAGGCAAAGAACAACAAAGAATAACATGGATGGACAACATAAGAAATTGGACTGGCCTGCATATAGCAGAATGTGCAACTGTAGCTCGCGACCGTGAAGGATTGGGCGGAAGGAGGGAGGGGGGTGGAGGGGTCATTACGCGTCAATCTCTGAGTCAGAGATAACACCTCCAGGTACCTCTTTCATGTGTGTGTGTTTGTGCGTGTGTGTGTG